AAATTTAATGAATTAAACAAATTAACAATTTCTTTGGGGTATCTTTGGGGTTACTATACACAGGCTAGACTATAACAATCAGATGTTGAGATGTTGAGATGTTGACAGTTTACTCCTACCTTAACTTTGGCATTGTGCATACTTTGAGCAATAATATCCCTAGTGGTCCCAGGCATGGGTAGACACCGTACTGCTTGTAACAAAAAACTTGGATCTGTGTCAATTAATTTCAATAAATTATCAATAAATTTTTCTGTTCCTGGAAAAATATAAAAACACGCAATAGTTAAATCTTTGATTGTAAAGTGTATATTTCAACACTTCTATTCATGTACTTGCCTGTGTTACATTAGATACATATATCTTGTGTTACATACCAAGAACAGAAAGGATAAAATGAATGTTTTGGTCATTTGTGACATGTATACAGTTCGAAATGAACCTTCTCTTGTAAGTACCTTGTCATTCTACAATGACATTCTATACATTATGCCAAGTCTTTGTTGTACCTATTACTAAATTGTTATACTGTAGTTGCATTCAACTTGATGCTATGGATTAAATTTACATATAACTGACAATAAGGTAATTTCCATGGTTACCATACAAGCACACATTTCAATCAAATTACCTGCAAGTAAAGTGCAGTGCAGTACATAGTGGTGGGTCAAAGGTCAAATTCATTTATGCAGTAAGTAAATAATGTTCTTACCTGTTAATAACCGCCTCAAATCATAATTTCTTCTTTGTTGAAATATTCTATTAAGCTGACTAAATGTTAAGACACTTATAATTTGATTGTAGACATATGTCAATTGCACAGTTAGCTGTAAACACAGAGACAATTTATTACAGTATGTCTTAAATTTCCTGTGAAAAGTACCAGGATGTATGACCCTTAGGGGTCATAGATAAGTAAACTGATGTATGTACCTGTAAAAGCATCTTACAGGGAGCGCAAGACATTTACATACACCTAACTACTGAACCCGATAGGTAATTACCGAGGGACTTTGCGACATCCCCAGACACTTTCCTAGACGCTCCAACAATAAAGTTACATACACGCCTACGTGACAGTTAATCAAAACAACTGACCAGGGGCAGGGGTAGGGTTTCAGATGGGTTCAACTATTACAACATGTAAGCGTCCAGTCAAACATTCATCAAACTCATTCATCAAACTCATTGTTGATATCGGACACATTATTATTTCATGCACACATGTGCTGGTTCATTTAATAAATTCTATTTTGAACGTTTCTTGAAAATAATAAACCTAGTTGATACAAATATTTAAAAACATCCCTAACATATATAAAATTATCTAAATTATCCTTGTGAGAACAGTTTAGTTTTGAATGCAGTTTCTGATTTTGAACAATTATTGTTATTAATTCAAGGCATTTAGACGAAAACACCGAGATAGAGATTATTTGCATCTTGCGAATGATCGAATATGGAGGAAGTTGCACTAACGAGGGTAACGGTTCAAGGGATTGTGCGGCATTTCTGTCACATCGGTTGGATACGTCCTGAGAGAAGTAGCAACCTTCGTCAACTGAAATCGTTGAGTTTATCGAATTTTGTCTGAGATCTGAGGGATATTTGAAACTGGTATATAGTTACGGTGTGGAGGAGTAGATTGAGTGTTCTGGCAACTGACAATGGGACCAGCAATTATGCGAGAAATAGAACGGGACACTCACACACTAATATTATTGATATCAATCCATTGACAACATCTTAACAAATTACCAATCAAAAAAACTTTATCATTTCTTATTAATATTTATTTCCAGTTTAATGTTCGTATTATATTTCTCCCAAGTATTACACAGCAATGGTTTTTGTATCTACAAAGCAATGGAATAGTCCAACCTCGTTCCTCGTGGCCAAACATAAAAGACATTCCGCGTCCGGTGTTTTGAATAACTGTCACTTAGGCGTGTATGTAACTTTATTGCGTCTACAACGGTCACTGGATCGTCTAGGAAAGTGTCTGGGGATGTTGCAAAGTCCCTCGGTAATTACCTACCGAGTGCGGGAGTTAGGTGTATGTAAATATCTTGCGCGTGCTGTAACAATATGAGCATGCTAATATTCATGTCTCACTTGCTGCATGTTAAAGTTGTGAGTGTAGGAATTCTGTATGTAACTTGTGCATACTGTAAAATGACTAATTTTCACTGAGTTTAAATTTTGCTGATTTACCATTTCAGGGATATTCAGTGGGTTTTAATTTAACGGTTTTATCATTTAGAGAATGTGCTCTATTCCAGTCAGCGAAATAAGCAAAAATAAAACACAGTGAATAACCCCTTTACAGTACTCAATAACCCTGTGACAATACATGCATGAATATACAGCTGAAACTCAACTTCTTTTCATTAACATGGTAAGAAAATTACAAGGATGTACATGTGACCTTCAGAATTATGAATTAAAAAACAATTACTAGGATGTTCTGTAAATGCATTTATCATTCGCTGGTTTTGCCTAAAATAAAAACATGTGAACATGTAAAATAACAATAGAACCCATTGTATCCTTGACAAGTTTGTGAACTTAAAACCCAGTTAAACTGCTCGTGCTTAAAAGATTGAAATAGTGAAAGTGAAAATAAATGGTTTAAAATAAACAGTATTTTTAGAGTTATGAATAGGGAATTTATCAGGGTGTTACTTTTTGAGCCCATGTATTTGGAAATGACTAATGTGTGGCCTTGAAACCTCACAAATTGCCAAGTCAGATAAAAAGTATGTTCTTACTTGTTGCGTAGATTCTCTTTTAGAAGAAACAGCTACTAATATCAATGGTATACGTAATAAAAACACAAATTTATGAGTTCCTGATATAATAGATCTGTAAAATACAACAATAGATGCAATATGATTACTGGCAGTATTACTCTGATTAAACATAATACAACTGAGTCAGGTCCACATTATCAGAAGGAGTTCACTTTGAAGAGAAATCCATCAATCTCTAGGTATGCACTTTAAAATCACGAGAAACCATAATTTTTGCTAATCTGTCTTTTGATTTCTATTGTTTATCTTTGAAGACTAAGCTTATGCCAAACACTCAATTCCTGTTGACCATTCTCATTATTGTATTGAATGCGTTCCTGATTACCTTCAAAATAGTACCTTGAATTATTCAAGGACTTAATTTAACCCTCGGAATAAACAATCAAAGTCTGTAATTTGCACATTAAAAAAAAAGTCAGAAGAGACAACAGTGACATGTCCAGGACTGTTGTATAGCACAAACAAAGTCTGTATTGTGTTTTGAGTTTGGGAGGACAATAAAAACTTAAAACTATCAGTATATTTTGAATTGCATTTATTTTATCCATCAGATTCCAGAAACAATGATATTCTGTTTATATCACTTTCCACCTAAGCATATGTTTGATGATACTAAGCCAATAATATAACAATTCTCAGGCCAATATAGAAACCATACAAGTTTTCTCCCTAAAATACAGATACAGAATATACACAGGTTTTACTTGTTAATTAATAAGATGTTTTCTTACTTCAAACTGTTTTGTTCAGCTTGTATAAATGACAGTAATGCTTGCATAACACCCATCAATGTTGCCAACCTCTCTTCATTACCATATCTGAAAACAACAAGATAAATGTCAACTGTACATTTAATGGTTTCTTCATGTGTAACTATTGGAGATCATGTGCAATGTGTAAAAAGTCACTGGTCAAAAGTCTGCCACAAAAATCAAATGTTTTTTGTTTTTTTATAGTTCAAACGTTTTTTTTTTAATTTCTTTTTAATTTTCAAATGTTGAAATCTTTCAGAGTGGCATGTGGCATTGAGAATTGACCATTATCAAACATGTATTGAAAGTTATTAAGTATGGAAATATCCAAAAATTAGCTATGTGTTTGTTGAATCCCACCTGCAGTGGAATCTGTGTCTTGTGTTTTGGTTTGATTCCATGCATGACAAAGATCTCCTAGTGAATGGAAAATGTTCTATCACTAGATCCTTAATATAGTGTTCAGTCAATGCATGGACAAGTGTTCCTTCTTAATCAAATAAATGCATCACTGATGGACATTGATTTATCATAATGCAGCTATGCTCATTCTGGCAGGAGAACATAGCATAACTATGACAACCTTGTCCATTGAGAATCTTGATAAAATAACAAATGGGTGGATGGATGGGTGGTTCTCATTATCATATTATTTCTACACCTAAGAAATGTTTTATTTCAGATAAATCTCATATTTTGAAACTTTCACTTGCTAGTTACCCTAATTGTTTACATTTCATAGCTATTTATAAAATTACAAATTTGAAGATGATCAGATGAAATTGTTTGAGTTATCTCCACAGGAAGACAATTTAAGGTAAAAATTAATGAAAACATTTCAAACAAGTCATTGAAAATGACACAGTCCCCGTTAAATTTTTGAAAGTTCTCTTTGTGCTCGTCATATTAAAGCGGAGGGGTTGTCGTGAGCGTGTCCTTGAAACTTGAGTTCCAAGTGGCGTATACAACAGATTGTTTATTTACATCAAAACATGTGTTCCGTGTAGTAATAATATGACCAAAAATAAAAACAGTCGTTATTCGCCATTTTTAATCTGATTATGAAACACACTGATATGTTTGATGTATGTGCCAAATTCGAATGAAAATGGTACATAAATTGTGGAAATATAGTAGTAAGGCCAAAAAGTCAGATGGCTGTCAATCGGCCATCCTTGACCAGATTTTGAAACAAATTGTCATGGACATGCATAAACATGTATAAAGTACATGTATATGCCAAATTTGAATGAAAACTGACAGAGCACGTCCAAGATACCGCATATAAAAAACAAAACAAGATGCCTGCCAGCCGACCATCTTTGATCCAATTGCGAAATAAATCGTCATGGACATGTATCCTAACATGTATAATCTATGTACCAAGTTTGAATGAAAACTGACAAAGCATGTCCAAAA